AGAAGAAGAAGAAGAAGAAGAAGAAGAAGAAGAAGAAGAAGAAGAAGAAGAAGAATGGAGATCATGGTAAAAGAGCTGGGGGTATGCAAGAGACCAAACGCTGTGAAGTCAAAACGATCACTGATACTATGATTAAAAATCACTGAAAATGTCAAATATAATTCTTGAAAGATACTACATATTTTTTAAAATCTGGAGTCCTAGACTAAACTAACAGAAATTGGACCTGGACAAAGGAAGTGGATAGAAGACAAACAAAAGCATTTGATGCTGTATTATTTGGCATATGGTCAATTCAGACAGGGTTTGACTAATAGACCAAACCCCCAAATAATGGTGACGTAAACAAATTAAGGATATGTTATTATTTATTATGTATAAGATTAAATCTTTGAATGCATAGAATTATTCCAATTAGTTTGGTATGTGACTATGTATGTATGTGAATCTGGGAATCTATCCCAGAAATAGTCCCTTTTAACCAAAGATATAATGTACAAACATGTTCACAAAAGAGTTTTTTTTAATGCTGGCAAAACAAAAAAATTAGGTAAGCTAGATGTCCCTCATTAAGAGAATAAATCACAGAACATATTATTTTTAGGATACAATGCAGGTGTCAAAACAAATAGAAATAACGAAGAAATTTGATACAACAGACACATAGGAATCCTTATCCCAATGAAATACGTATTAAACCACAGACCACATCTCAATAATTTCCAGAAAAGAAATAATTATACAGGATACAGGTAAGTATCTATCCAAAATGGAACAAAGTGAAAAATTAACAACAAAATCTAAGGAAAAAATGACCCACCTAGATATTTCCAAAACTACTTTTCTAAATAACCTTCAGGTTAAATAGGAAACCAAAATTTAAAAGTCTTCTTTAAAATGAATAACAATGAAGGCATTTCATATCAAAACACATGTGATACAATCAAGGTAGTATTCAAAAGAGGCTTTTATCATCTTAAAAGAATCCTTTTAAAAAAAAAGACTTAAAGTATTGAAATAATCATGTAATTCAAGAGGTGTTTACAACAAAATATAACCAAAGAAAGCAGGAAGGAAGATAGATTAAAAATAAAGGTAGAAATTAACAAACTAGTAAGTCTAAAAATCAGGAAAATCAAGTCTGCAAAAGACCAAGAACACTGACTGTTTTTGGCAAGTCTGACTACAAAATAGAAAGAACACAAACAGTATCAGAAATAAAAAGGATGACACAACTGCTAATATAGAAGACACTCTAAAATTATATGAAAATACTATATACAACTTTAAGTCAGACAAAAAAAATTTTTAAATCAAAATGAAATGGATGAATTTCTAGAAAAGTCTAGAATTATAAAACTTCATCAAAGAAGTAGTAGTAACTCTGGACAGTAATAACGGTAGAAGAATTTTTTTAATTAGTCAAATATTTCCATTTCTAAAGGCTCAGACAGCTATGTGCATGAGTTCTATCACAAAATTTAAAAAAAAATTAACTTTAAAAACTCATACTTATTTAAGCTCTTCTAGAGTTCATTCTATGAGATTAGCATAACACTGAAACCAAAACAAGGCAGGCGTGCACGTGCACGTGCGCACACACACACACACACACACACACAATCTTATAACCAAAGACCAAAATCAACTATAAATATAGATGCAAAAAGTTTAAATAAAATGTTAGTGATTCAAATCAACTGTGCATTAAAAGAATTATAGGGGCTCCTGGGTAGCTCAGTGGGTTAAGCATCCAACTTCAGCTCAGGTCATTATCTTGCGGTTCGTGGGTCTGAGCCCCAAATCGGGCTCTGTGCTGACAGCTCACAGCCTAGAGCTTGCTTCAGATTCTGTGTCTTCTCTCTCTTCCCCTCCCCCACTTATACTCTGTTCTCCCTCTCTCTCTCAAAACTAAATATCTGAAAAAACAGAGTATTATAAAACATGGCCAAGCAAGGTTTATCCCAGGAAAGTGAGGACCATTTGCCATTCTGAAGTCTATAAAAGTAATGATAAAATATCTTAATTGCTGCCTGACAGACAGCAAATGAAATTCAGCACATGTTCATGACATGAACTCTGTAAAGTTAGGAAAAAATCATTTCCTAAACACCATAAAAGTTATCCACCAGGAAAATACAATAAACATGACACAACACGGAATATCAAAAGTATTCCTGTCAAAATCAGGAACAAGACAAGAATTCTTGCTAGTCCACATTTTTCTGGGAGAAGTAATACAATGAAACAAGACAAAAAATGAGGGCTATGTAACCTCATAATTTGCATAAAATATGATGTTTACCTAGAAAATCCAAAATAATCAACTGGAAAACTAGATGGCTACATTCAAGACAAACATTCAAAAATAAATAATTTTCCTATACACCAACAAATTTAGAAAATGTAAGAAAAATAATCCCATTCACAATAGGTCATATTAAAATCTATAAAATTCATAGAAACAAAGTAACAAAAAGTATATATAAACCCTATATGAAGACTTGAAGAACACCACAGGATTTCAATCAATAGAATATCCAGTATACTTCTGGATAGAAAGACTCTCTATTGCAAAGACGTCGATTATTCTTCAAGTTAATCTAAAATTTCATTGCAATTCCAATCACAACCCCAACAGCATCTTTAATGGAATCCGACAATCATTTCTAAAGTTTATCTGGAAGAACAGATAGATAACAAAGAGTCAAGAATTCCTGAAAAAGGCAGCCAGGAAGGGAATCATGCTCTATCAAAATTCATAACCTATTATAAGGCTATAGTAATTTCAACGAGTACAGTAATAGATTAGTGGAAAAATAAACTAGAAATAGTTTGATTTACTAATAAATGTTTGATATATGATAAAGAGGCTTTTGAAGCAGCAAAGATAAAATGAACTATTCAAAAAATGGTGTTAGGACAGCTGATTTCATTTCACAAATACTGTTATATCATGGCTTGTTTATAACAGAGATCAGAGATAAAGCAGGAAACAAGAAAAGTTTTATGTAATGAATACCTACAGAAGAGAGTCAAGGAGAGACAATAACTATCAGGAATTATACTGAATTAGCAGAGCGGCAGTAATGAAAACCAGACCACATTCCCAATAGCCTGAGAGTCATTTGGAAGAAAGTATTTTTAAATTCTGATTCACTTCACAGCCATGGCTGAGCAAGAATTTAACCTTCATTAAAGCAAAAGTCCATTATAATTTTTGGAGTTCCTTTGTACGGCTCTATTATAATCTTGGATTTCTGCTCTAAGGCAAGTTGAGTTTGTGTTTAGTACAAGGCTCTACAGTATTATGTGACGTGTGGTATTCCTAAATTGTTAAAATAACCAGTCATGTGATAACAGAGTCTCCAGTTCATTAATTATTTAAATTGGTAGATTTCCTAATTGTGAATTACTTATTCACCCAAGTGAGTTCTATCATTTCACATGACTGCTTATCTCATGATAGGACAATGTCAGCATTCTAGGAAGGAAACAGTATTAGAAAAAGGTTTTAAATGGATTTTACTGAAATTGGGTACATTTTACATTTATAAGAGTTACTGAGATTTTATGATGGCTTTGAAAAATGGTTTCAACCTCACAAAGTCTCACTGCTTTTAAGCAGACTGCAATTTATAAATGGTTCACGTACATATAACTAGATAACAGAAGAGACAATGATTTATGTGGCAATTGTACTTTGTTCCTTAATACAAGGGTACTGGAAAGTTTATTCCCTAAAGCAGAAATGTTAGGTTTGGATTTTTTTCTTTTTGAGGTTTTGTTTTACTTTTTTGCTTTGCACTCCACCAGTTTAAAAAAAAAAAAAATGAGTCTGTGCTCCCAACATATGTATACTTGAGTTAATAAACACATTCGTGTACTATTGTTTTAATGCATTATGTACGCTAAAATGTATTAAAAAATTTTTTTAAGATGAGAGGAGATAAAATCAATCTATATACAAAGTTCTGATGTTGTTCCTTGGATCCCTGGACTGCCTTACAATGTATATACACCTTATTTGGGAGAACCTTGTCCTAGAGCAATGAGTTATCAAACCACAGTATACAAAACAATCACCTGGGATGCTGGTTAAAAATGCAGAAGAATGAGGTGCCTGGGTGGCTGAGTTGGTTAAGCATCTGACTCCAACTCCAACTCCTGGTTTCAGCTCAGGTCATGATCTCACATTCCATGGGTTCGAGTCCCGCATAGGGCTCTGCACTAACAGCACAGAGCCTGCTTGACATTCTCTCTCTCCCTTTCTCTGTACCCCCGATTCGTGCTGTCTCTGTCTCTCCCAAAAATAAACTTTTAAAAAATGCAGATTCCAAGCATCAACAACAGAGATTCAGTGGGTCTAAGATGGAGTTCAGGAATCTGCATTTTTTAGCAGTCACTCAATTCTGAAGAAGGTTGTTTGAGGCTACACTGAAGCTTTTCTCAAGAAGGTTGTTTGAGAAACACTACAAAAGACAATACAGATGCTCTCCCCCATAACATCAGCACAGCAACACCAGCAGGAGAGGAAGATACAACAATGGTCTATTCTGCACACGCATTATCCAGGAATGAGGTTTTTCTGAGGAAATATTAGAACTATCACTTAAGGGGAGCCTGGGTGGCTCAGTTGGTTAAGCATCTGACTTCGGCTCAGGTCATGATCTCACCGCTTGTGAGTTCGAGCCCCGCATCGGGCTCTGTGCTGATAGCTCAGAGCCTGGAGCCTGCTTCAGATATGTGTCTCCCCCTCTCTCTGTCCCTCCCATGCTCATTTTCTGGTTCTCTCTGTGTCTCAATAATAAATAAATGTTTAAAAAAAACATTTTTAAAAAAAGGACTAACACTTAAAATATTGTTTCTATAAGAAAATACATTCCAATTTCTACAGTGCTGACCTAAGAAGAAATTTTTGGCATTCTCATATACCCCCCCACACACACACAATTTATTATATAATAGAATTCATCCACTTAAATGAAATTGCTTTTATTTTAATACATGTAACATCTTTTAAATATAAAAATTTTCTAAAGTATAAATGCAAACTGTCAAATCCCATAGCAATTTAAGACATCCATTTGCATCAATAATCATTTATGAAGCATTTGTAACATACCGGGCACCAAAGGAAGCAATCTGGTATGATGGAAAGGGCATGGCTTCTGTAAGCAGAACAGCCTGGGGTTTAATATCTGACTTAATAATTTCTTACTTGTTAGATTTGGAAGAAGTTACTTAACCTTTCTAGGTTCCAGTTTCTTTATTTCTAAAATGGTCAATATAATGTATATTTACAGAGCCTCTGTGAGAAATAAACAAGGTATGTATACTGCACACAGTAAGTGACAATTGTAATAATGACAAACAATTACCTGCGCTTTAGTGGTATCTGTTTAAAAACACACATATGTGACCTTTTCCTCATTAAAAATCCAATTCCTGTATTTCCCGTGTTCAAAAGCGTTGACTAGTTAGGCTCTGAGGTCAAAGAGTTTGGGTTCAAATTCCAACTCTACCATTCACTCATCTGGGCAAATTACTTAACTGCTCCTAAGCCTCAGTTTCCTCTGGGATGAAACAGATAATAATACTACATACCTAATGTAATATTATGAAGATAAAAATGAAAAATCTAACTATAGTGCTTATCCAGTGACTGGCACTCATTAAGCCCTGAGTAATTTTTATTCATTATCACTTAACCAAGAAATGATTTTCAAGCCATATTTGCTGATTCTGGTGCAAATAAGAATACATGATTTGACTAAGATAACTACACATATCACCTACAACTAAATCTACAAATATTCCTAAATTTTCTTGTAACATGAGTAGATATTTTATCCTGCTTCAAAACCACTGTCTCCCCTTTACCTAGAGTATAAAATCTAAACCACGTAATAGAATATGCAAGGCTTTTCACAACTCCACCTGCACCACATTTGTCTCTTCCTCTTCCTTTACCTCACCCCCTGACCTCCCATTCTATACACCCAGCTTCTCACAGTTTTAAATTTTTTTTTAATGTTTTTATTTATTTTTGAGACAGGGAGAGACAGAGCATGAACGGAGGAGGGTCAGAGAGAGAGGGAGACACAGAATCTGAAACAGGCTCCAGGCTCTGAGCTGTCAGCCCAGAGCCCAACGCGGGGCTCAAACTCATGGACCGCGAGATCATGACCTGAGCCGAAGTCAGACGCTTAACCGACTGAGCCACCCAGGCGCCCCTCTCACAGTTTTAAAAAGAAGTTACAGTCTCAAAGTTTGGGCACAGTATTATCTCCCAAGAGAGGAGTCACTAAATACTACCTTGGCATTTCTTGTAGTTCTTCAAAACATCATTAGCCAAGGCCTTAAAATCTAATAATCCCTTTTAATATGTGTTACAACACAAGGGCTCCTAGGTGGCTCAGTCGGTTAAGCATCTGACTCTTGATTTTGGGTCTGGACACAATCTCATGGTTTCGTGAGTTCAAGCCGCATATTAGGCTCTGTGCTGGCAACATGGAGCCTCCTTGGGATTCTCTGTCTCCCTCTCTGCCCCTCCCCACTCGCACTGTCTCTGCCTCTCTCAAAATAAATAAAAAAGGTTAAAAAATGTTTTTAAAAAATGTGTTGCAATCAATACCCACCAGGGCAGTCTTCTTAAGGATAAGGGAAATACTCAAACTCATAAAACTACCATAGGCTGCACTTGACATCAGATTCACTTAGAAAGACGTGGGACAGGAGACACAGCACATCTGCAGAGCACTGAGAGGCATTCTCCTTCAATGGGAGATCCTGTAGCACTTTATTCAGCTGTCCAAGAGCTATTCTCTCTTCCCTTCCTCCAGCTCCCTGGAGAAAGCTCAGGTTCAAGGAGGTGAAATTCACAGTGGACAGGTTACCCTGCAAAAGCCAAAATCTGTTGCAACAACCCTACAGTCACTGTTTGTAGGATCCCTGCCAGGGATCTGCCAATGTCACAACACTTAGGGAAGCCCAAAGATATGGCTTCTTCCTAGGTATTTATAGTTCTTCCTGGTCCAAATGCAGTTTGCCAGCCAGAAGTCATTTTTATCATAAGCATGTTGCTTTATGACACAGTTGACACTACTTTTATCTAGTTTCCAGGGAAACAAACCTAGAAGGTTAACCAAAGTCAAATTGTCAGGCAAAAATGGAAAAGAGTTTTGATAACTCTTTACCCACAAGTGCGTATCTTAAAAAATGAGCAATTATAGTAGTGTCTCCAGAACAGGTGGAAAAGGGAAGAAGAGAAAGGAACAAACTTGAAAAGATAGTTTTTATCAATATACGTACCATTGTCAGCTGCACCATCTGCTAGAAAGATGTAGTAGCTTGTGTTTAGATCAAATCTGTTCTTAACCCCAGGAAGGGTAATGTTTCTTCTGAAAGAACACTGCATAACACCATCCGCCAGCCTCCAAGCCATATCCTCAAGAGCACCCTACAAACACACACAATGGGTCTCTTCAGCACTTTCCACAGATTTGCTAAAAAAAAAAATATGATCAAAATCCTGACCTGTTCGATTTCCTTTCCCTAAGATCCTTTGTGCATGTTTTGTCTGCTGTATCATTGTTTGTCCACTTCCTCTCTGAGGAGTACAAGAAACATTTTCTCCTGGTTTATTGGTCTTTATCCTACTTGGCAAAAACACTATTTTTACTTTGAGTCAGAACCCCACAAACCCTCTACCCAGGTTAGAAATTTTGGCAGATGTACTAACCCCCTCTCGCCTCTAACACACAATCAAAAACACTGAAGAAACAATTAGAAAGTAATACCCTAGTGGCCAAGATGCGATGTGCATCAAGGGAGAAGTTCCAAGCTATGGGAAAGCTCTGCAGAGAACATAACATTATTAGGAGATGACTACTTCTTGGTCAGAGCTCACTTGCTTGTCAATTGCCATGTGAAAAAGACACTTCTCTACCAGAAATAAGCCATCTTTGGCATAGATGCCAACAAGGAGCACTGAAGACAACTGTCCAAGGCACTGAACCAGTCTCTACCATACATGTTCTCCTTTCTCACTAGACAAGAAACTGTGTCATTAACCTACACCTTTTCTTAAAAATCTATCTGTAAGCTTATGAAAGGGAGCTGATGCTTTGACTATCTTAACCATAATTTTTTTTATAAGATGCAAAAAAGGATTTAAACGGCACACGCAAGAATTCATCTTTTCCTATAAGAGAACCTTATCTTGTGCTTCCCGAAGTGTAGAAAAGGGGAGATGTTGGTCAAAGGGTACAAAGTTGCAGTTATGTAGGATGAAAGTCTAGAGATCTGATGACTATAGTTAATAATACTGTATTATATACTGGAAATTTGCTAAGAGAAAATTTCAGGTGCCCTCACCACAAAAAAGAAAAAAAAGTAACTAAGAGAGGAGATAATGGTAGCAGTCATTTCACTATGTGTGTGTATGTGTGTATATATATATATATATATATATATATATATATATATCAAAGCATTATGTTGTATACATTAAATACATATATACAATTTTATTAAACTATATAATATTAAATATATTGAATATATGTTAAATAAAATAATATAATGACATTAATAAATTAAATGTATAAATATAATAATATAACTTACTTTATATATTTTTATATATTATTTTAAAAATAAAAGAAAGCACAGAAAAGTGTCTTCCAGCTTTTTGTAAGAAAGGAACCCTACTGCCAATGTTGGCCGCATAGCCAGGGGCAGACAAGAGGGGTGGAGGTTCCCAGAATCTTCCCACCTACCCTGGAGTCCATCACAGGGTGACTTCGCCCCATCAAACGGGATGGTTGTATGTGCACAGTGTGATCTTCATGAATACACACATAAGCATCATCATCACCCTGAAAAACAATTGCAAATGAGAAAAATTCAAAGGAATTTCAACATTTTGTTTTTTAAAATATCCCTAATGAAATCAAATAGTATTTGATGCTTTTAAAACATAATTTACGGGGCGCCTGGGTGGCGCAGTCGGTTAAGCGTCTGACTTCAGCCAGGTCACGATCTCGCGGTCCGTGAGTTCGAGCCCCACGTCGGGCTCTGGGCTGATGGCTCAGAGCCTGGAGCCTGTTTCCGATTCTGTGTCTCCCTCTCTCTGACTCTCCCCCGTTCATGCTCTGTCTCTCTCTGTCCCAAAAATAAATAAACGTTGAAAAAAAAATTAAAAAAAAATTAAAAAAAAAAAGTATATGAAGATAGGGAATATGTGGATACTTTGAAATTAGTTAAAATTCAGACATTAGCAAGTCACTGATAACTAAAATGCAGAAAATTATACTTTTCATCAATTTTAGTGAAGTTTAACACCAAAACAATTGCTATCATTAATTTATAAGTGAAACTGAAAAAGGTATCATTCAGGTTGATCAGTATTTGTAACATCAGATACCTTCAATATTTAAATTTATATTACATACTGAAAAGAAATAGCAGGTCATAAAAATATCCTAAAATTTTTTAAATAACCAGGAATAGAAGTAACCACTTTAAAAATATTTTCTGAGGATGATTTATTTCCCCCAATTTAGGCAAACAGGTGTACAAATGACTTTAATCATTAAGTAAGATTGCTCTGTAAATCAACTGCACCTGCATAATTAAGTCTTTCTTATAAACATTTTTGATGAGTACTATACTAGAAACATAAGATTTCTAAGTAAGATAAATATATCTTGAATTAGAGATAAATGCTTTTGTGCCATCTATGCCTACAACTTAGAACAGAAATAACTGGTCTACTTGTGGGTGCCTCATCACCACACTCAGTACAGCACTAGTGTCTTTTCCTCTCGCTGACAGATTTTATGTGACCAGAAAAGGAAAAATACAAGTATACTATTGCATGAAGTTTGGCTCTAAAGTGACTGGAATGTTTTTTTATGTAAGTGACTAGAACACATATCTAAATGATACTGTATGTTACAGATGAAACTACACACTTACTCCAACAAGGCTACCATTGTTAACCCTTGCTGGGTTCATCTTCAGAACTGTTCACACAACAAGTACTACCACCATCTTTCCTTATTGCTTTATGGTCCCATTTTATTTTTTTTTTTATTTTGTTAATGTTTATTTATTTATTTTGAGAGAGAGAGGAAGAACGCATGCATGCACACACAAGCAGGGGAGGGGCAAAGAGAGAGGGAGAGAGAGAATCCCAAGCATCTCTGCACTGTCAGTGCAGAGCCTGTCTCAGGGGCTGAATTTCACAAACCACGAGATCGTGACATGAGGTGAAATCAAGAGTTGGATGCTTACCCGACTGAGCCACCCAGGAGCTCCTAATTTTATTTCCTACCCAGCCTCATTATCCACCTTATGGGCCAAACTTGGTTCATTTCTGCCTGAACTGCAAATAACCAACAGAATATGCTATTGCTCTGACGACAATTACAAAGGGCAATGGGGAAAAGGTCTTGAACTCTTGCAACATCATTTGATCCAGCATAAAATTTCCCAAAAAACAACCTTAAAAAAAGAGTCACAATTTCTTATATGTCATTTTTAAAAGCATATGACATATCTTAAATCTCATAAGGTTAAGGTCTATGTTTTGCTTAATGAAAAAAGATAATGAGTGCATTCTAGAACTATACAGTAATATATCTAGGTCATGTGCATATATTGCAATGCCCTCCCCCTAAAAAAGTTACACCTGGTTTCCCGCAATACATGCAAGCAGCATACGAGGACCAATGTGATCAGAGTGCACTTTTAGGGAAAACATTCGTCCTTCTATCACAGAATCTCAGCGTTTCTTTTCTTTTTTTGAATTACAAGTCCCTTAAGAAGTGATACTAAGTTTAAAACATGACAGGAAGAAAACTCTCTACAAAAAACTCGTTGCCTTTGCTAATGTGGAAGTAAGAGGCGTTCTCCATTTGTAGTCATCCCTGACCTCACCATCAACTCTGCTTCGAAAAGGACTTACACATGTCCTGGCCCATACTCTCCCTCCTTCCTTCTGGAAGATTAGGATGCACTCTGATGCCACACCACAGCACAAGGCTGCCATCTACAGAACCATTGAATCCATTCAGCACTACCCAGGGAGAGCGAGAATCCGCTTAAAACAAATGCTGCCTTCTGTAGATCTGACAAAGGAGCCTACCGGTAAGGAATATATTTATGCCTGGACACGCCAGGTTTAACTCTCTGTTTGGGATATGTACTGATGACTACCAAAATGGGGACTCCGTGAGCAGCAACCCTTGCTGGGATTGCTGGACACTTGAGAAAACAATGAAGGTTTGAAAAGCATCACAAATAACATGAGACTTGAGGCAGAGCAACTTCTCCTCACTGTACTTCAAGCTTTTATCACAAAGAGATAAGCAGACAGGACAGACAGAAAGATATAGCGGCAAATCCACTGGATACAAAGTGATTTTCCTAACTTTCTACAAGACAGCCTTTCTTAGTGGTATATAATTGCACAACTGTTAAAAACATGAAATACCCGAAGATTTTTAACTTAGAACCCGCTCTATGTTCATTTCTCCTGCCCTCCCCTTCCCCTTCCCATTGTAAGCAGGATAATAATTTGACTCTGGAACAAACAACTAACTGCCATTGATTAGGCTCCCTCCAGTAACTTTTCTTTCATTACCACTTACGTAAGTGAGGGATACAAACCATCCATCTGTCATGAGAAAATGCAAAGGATAAATAGCCTTTACTGGGACCGCTCATTTCAACCACCACTGATTGGTCATCTCGTGTGAAGGACAAGAAGAAACAGGCACGCTCCTTCTCTGGGTCACAGTTCAAAGGACTCCGAATACAGAACTTCTTGTTCCCACAATCTGAAGCACTGAACTAGAAAAATGACAGGGAGAAAAAGTCTTAATTACCAACCAAACAGTTCATTTCACAATGATAAAAGAGCCACTACCTTGAAGTACAAGTTTTAACAAGAGTATCTTTTCATAATAAAGATTCAAAGAAGGAAACAAATAACACATCCCAAATTAGACATGATCAGAGCAGTAGTTAGGTTGTGAACTTTTAAACTTAATTAATTTTGATTAAAATTTGGAAGACACAACATTAGTTGGACTATAATGTGCATGAGTATTAAAGTTCCTTTAATACACAAAATATTTCACATCAATTATGTTCTGGAGCATAGTTTCCAGTAAATTTTGAAAAACACCTTAGGGAATATTTAAGCCCACACTGACATTCTTGCCTAAAAGATATCATTAAGTTTTTAGAATGAACTTTTAAAAAGTAAACAGACAAACTCACGAATTTTTATATTCAGATCCTAGACTCTGCATCTAGAATTCAGGTTCAAATTTGATATTAAAATAATATAAGAAAAAATGGTTATTCCAATATATGCTAACACTCTAAATAATAGTAATACAATTTAGTGGAGGAGAAACAGGAACAATTTACAATGATTTAATTCAGAGCTGCCTTGTTATGGCAAATAAGAGGACTAGCATCAAAAATCTCAGCTCCACAATTTGACGGTACAAAAATGCTCAGTCATCTTGTTAGAATGCGCTATGACAGTGTATTTCAAAAGGGAGTTAAACATCATGTGTCTAGATTAAATGGGAACTGTATCCAAACACCTCTCATTTCTTCTACTCTACTGACACTTCTGGCCATCCAGGGTGTGGCGGGTTTTCCCACATTAAGCAATTCTGCAATTCTCAGTGGACACCAAGCACAAGTCCTACTTTGCAATTCCATTCTGACACAATCTACCTGAAGGTAGTGTCCAATCCTACAAGTTAGGGGCTCAGTACCACAAGACTGTTTACTTCAGAGGCCAACCACAAGGTCCAGGTTCCCAATGAAGGAGACTAAAGGTTCCCATGTCCCTCTCCTCAAGTTTGATAATGTACCAGGATGGCTCTCAGAACTCAGGAAAACAGGTTTCTTACTAGATTGCCAGTGTATTATTACCCGATGAAATCCAGAAACAGGTGGAAGAGGTGCACAGGGAGGGTATGTGGGCAGGGCAGGTGTGTGGAGCTTCCATGCCCTCTCTAAGGCACCATCCTTCTAGCACCTCCATGTGTTCAGCAACCTGGGAGCCTCTGAACCCCATACTTTTGGGATTTTTTATGAAGCCTTCATGGAGGCATGATGGATTAATGACTCAATTTTTAGCCCCTTGCTCATCTCTGGAAAATGGAGAGTGGGGGGCAGAAAGTTCCCAGTTTCTAATCATGGCTTGGTCTTTCTGGTGACCTGCCCCCATGGACGGCCCACCCATTAGAGTAAAAGGCATTCCTATCACTCAGGAAATTACAAGGGATTTAGGAGCTCTGTATCAGGAACTGGGGTCAAAGTCCAAATATTAGCAGGAACCACAGCAGAAACCAATACACATTTCTTATTATTTCACAGCAACTTAAAGAAAAGTCACAGTAGAACGGAAAAAACAAACCAGTACGAAACTTGCATTTTGGTCTCTGCTCTCCCCTTTAGTCCATCATGTTTGCTGAAGAACTTAACTGTCTCTCTTGTATACCTTCAACTATATAGGGACTGAATTCTGAGGTCTCTTCTAGCTCTGTATGAATGCTATAATCCCATGACTCTCAATAAACCTTTCTATAATCAGAGATTATAAACCTGGTGTAGAGATACCATAAAAGCTCCGGTGAGAACTAATGCCTTTTATGTGAATATATGGAAAGATTCCTCTTAGGAAGCTCAGGTCCAGACTGACTATTTACCCCCCTAAGGCAGCTTTAAAATAAATAAACATTAAGACTAAGTAAACTAGAGCTAGTGCAAATAAAAAATCTAATTGTATGGTCAAAAGTGTAACATTCATAATAATGCAATCAAGTATAATTATATATTGCAAAATGTAGAAGGAAAACAAAATGAGACAGTACATAAAGAGTACAAGTGCTTTACTTAGTCTTCCTCATGAGAACAAAGAGTTATAAAAAGACAAAAAGAGAAGGAAAAGAAAAAAGGAACTAATATTTACACAATTTCTATTAAGTGCAAGGCAGTTAGAAACCTTAAAATCATTACATTGTTTAATTCTCATAATAATACTAAGAGCTGGATATTATTACTTCTTATTTTATAGGTGAAGAAACTGAGACTTTGAGAATTAAGTAGCTTGTCTAAAGTCACACAGAAAGTAGGCGAGACAGGATTCAGACCCGAGTTTGTTCTTTTAACTGTAATAACCTGCCGTAAGACACTTTTCATTATTTTCACTTCTGAACTAATAAGTCTCATTTATCAGAATTTCTTTCAGTAAACCTAATGTTATTAATATGCACTACCCTTTACAAGATATGTTTTCTCAGCCACAGTTCTTTTGAACCCAAGGGCCTAAACGGAATTCTAGCTGATGAGTTTGCAAAAGAGCTTCTGTCATTCAGCACATAGAATCCCCCAGTACTCACTGGCCTTAGTGAAATCAGATCTAGGAGTTACATCACCATTTCAAGATTCTGCTCCAAATCTTGTCTAAATTTAGCTTAAGCTTTAATGTTCCTCTCCGTGTTTGATATTTGGCTGTACAGACTACAGAATGTCATAACCACACCTCGAACATGCAGGGTGTTGCACTCCCTTTATCCTGACCCATAAGTCATAATGTGGCAATAAAGACTTCCTTCAGATTTCCTGCAGAGGTCCCAAAAACTCACTGCCACAACCCGGCACAGCTACTTCTCTGCATACTTCAGCAAGTACAAACCACAATTTCCAAAGACACTGTTCTTTTAGCTTGCATCTGGTGAAACCATGAAAAGGTTACTTACTGATTTGGTTAAATGGGATACAGGAGGTAATGTTGACAAAGGTGCTACTGTAGCTTCAGGTGTTGTAAAAGGCGGTGCATTGGGCTGTGAAATTACAGGGCCAGGAATCTTCACCCAGTAGATTTTATACTTCTCAACAACTGTGACTCTGAAATGCAGTACTAATGAGATCAAACAGAACCCTAATTGTGGCCCATTATAATTGAATCAAAAAAAAAAAAGATAAAAAGAAAAGAAGTAAACTTGGGACACACAACTTAATACTACCCAACAGTACCACCAATTTTGTCTAAAACAAATCTCTAATGACTCTTCTACCTCATTACTAAATGAACTTTTACTGCCCTTGTTCTCTTGCTTACTCTTGATCTTTCTTTTCTTCTCTTCTCTCCTCCTCGTCTGCCCTTTGGGCATACTCCCAGCAGTCCATGAGTGCCAGATAAGGACTAAAACACACAGACTTCTATTCCCTGACATATAAAGAACATACTACTGCTACTTATTTCATAGTGTGCTGTTCAAATTATCCCACAGGGCATATGTAGCAGGCAGCTACAGCAAGAAGTCAGATAGAGGCTGCATAAGCAACACCAGATCTTATTGGCGTCACAGTCCTCTTCCACATTCCACACCACACACAGGTGCAAAGCTGTGTTTCTATGTGCTAGCACTTGCATACATAGTGAAACAAAACATACAGACATGTCAGGAGACTAATTCTCCTTAAAATATACATCTGTAGGGGCACTGAGTGGCTCACTCCCTTAAGCATCCGACTTCAGCTCAGCTCATGATCCCAGGGTTCGTGAGTTTGAGGCCCACATTGGGCTCTCTGCTGTCAGCACAGAGCCCACTTCAGATCCTCTGTATCCTTCTCTCTTTCTCTCTCTCTCTCTCTCTCTCTCTCAAAAATAAACATTAAAAAAAATTTTTTTGATAAAAAAACATATATATGTCTCTAACACCACTCAGTTATCATTAAACTGTTTTTATGACATTCCACTTCCCCTTGCACAGAGGATTAAGGGAAATGGACTTCTAATCCTACTGAATTTCATAATTCTGAGGGCATGAACAGTCTTACTAATCTAATATGCAGGTTATAACACTACAAAAAAGTCATTCAAATTTTAGGAATTTTTTCATACTATCATATTAAGATAAGAACAAATCTAAAAAAATGTATTAGTCCATACACCATATATGAACTCAAGTAAATATTAACTAATGCCTCTTAACATGAAGGCACCACAATATTTAATTCACTCAACAGATATGTATTAAGCACCTATTAGGTGTTAGGTCTTGGGCTCGGTGGAAAAATCAAATGAAAAGCAAAACAGACCAAGGTGGTGTCATTCTACACCAAACCACTCGTATACAGGTAAATGTCCAATAGGTATCAAAAATGACACAGACCATTATTTCAATTTGACTAGTTGCAGATTTGTAAGCTCTCCCACTCACAGAAACTTTATGTGATTTGGAGAATTGCTTGGAGCATTCCAGTAGACTTTAATTTTTGTTTTCTTGGATGGATTTGTGTGACTCACAGCATATCCCTGAAACAAAATGGAAAAGAACACCATTCACTCACTCCGTAGTTGAGCATACTGAAACTACTGTCATTTTGCAAAGTAATCTGTCATGGCATGATGCTGGCATTCTGATAAATACGGTTTTATTTAGAACAGAGACTCAGGTACTCAACAAATACATGTTGGTTAGTCAACACCAGATTAGCAGCTGGCTCTGTATATAAATTAGAGTCAGCAGAAATTTAAGAACTGAAAAGAGTTATGAATACTGGGTATGTCAATGCTACATAGAGTCTGCTCATTATTTAATTTATATTATAAATTAAAACTCCTTCCATTAACAGATACAAAGAAAATCCAAAAAATTCATCAAAAGAAAAAATTTCTGCCTCCACACATATAGCATTATATTTCAGTAATTCCTTTCCCTTGAACAATCTCATTTCCCACTTTCATTCACCTGGCAAATTCCTACTCATTCATTGAGGCCTGACATAGAGATGACCTCCTCCAAGAACCTCTCTCTCAATTCCCTCCAGCCTGTGTGTGACACACCCTGCTATGCTTCTCACCCATCCTGTGTATGCTTCTAATTTAAGTCACCACAATGTTCTACTTATGTGTCTGTCCTATATTCCTCATGTTCTCCTTATGTATCATACATCACATGTCCATATGTCCTACTTATGTGTAAGGCTTTCAGCTCTTCAAAGAACAGAAGTAAGTCTTGTTCGTTACCATATCCCTTGCACCAGGATAGTTTCTGGCATAATAAATGTTTATTAAATCAATGAATGAATGACAAAAATGATACCTCTGTCCCATTCTAGCATCCTATCTTCAATATTAACACCCTTTAAAATCAATATAATAAGAGTCAATATTATATAAAATATCAAAAGCTATAAACCCTTCAAGCTACTGCCTTTTCTCGGATGCTGATGTGTAAAAACATATTGCAAATAGGAAAATTAGGGGGAAAGCTTGATCACTGTGAATCTATTTAGATGTCTGCAAAACATGGGTAATGTCATTATCTCAGAACCCTTAGCTTATAATGAAAAGATCCATGGAAACTAACAAATCAGTTTCAAACATAACACAAACCTGTACATCCTCACAGGTCAGAAGCTGCGACACTTGACTGTCAATCAATGTGAAGGAGCCAATAGGAGGGCCACTCAAATCCTCAGCATTACGTGCTTCTAAAAGAAAGCCTCTAAATGGTAGCCCTGACAAAGTAACTGAGAAACAAACAAAAAAATAGTTTACGATAAGGTTTAGCAACATCCCCAAAAGAAAACTGTTTAGAGGAGGCATCTCATAGTTAGAATCTAGCATATGTATACAAAACTACTCCAGGAAAGAAAATGGTATAAATAATCCCATAGACAAAGAAGGTCTAAACTATGTTCCACAGGACATTCACTCAGTGAGATGTTAATAGCCATTCCAATTCTACGGGGAAAAAAAGCTAAGTGATGGTCAGGGAGGTGTCCATGGAGCCAAATTAGTTCAAAAAATGCTGAATGAAAGTAAATATTTATTTGTTTACTAAAAACCCCCAAGGCCTTTAACATCCTACTATACAGTATGAAACTCTCAGTATATACAACATACAGTGTTCCAAACTGATTTTTCCATACACTGTTTTTGTCAGAGTTCATTAATATTTTGTATTTCTGGAGTTGCATAAAATAGTTTGCAAAACACTATTATAGATACACTTTTGACAATCAGCCTACCTTTCACCCAAAGAATCAGAAAAACATAAGAATTTACACTATACCAAGAAGACTAAGGGTTTATTATACCTTAAACCAGATAAAATAAACTTTATTTTCCTCTTCTATTGTGTTAATAGTATTGGTTAAAAAAGATACATATTAACTAACGATAAAAATGTATTTAAAACCTATTCTACTTAGTCTGACCTCGGCTCAAATCATGATCTCGCAGTTTGTGAGTTCGAGCCCTGTGTCAGGCTCTGTGCTGACAGCTCAGAGCCTGGAGCCTGCTTTGGATTCTGTGTCTCCCTGTCTCTCTGCCCCTTCCCCACTCGCACTCTGTCTCTAAAAAATAAATAAACATTTAAAAAAAATTTTTTTGAAACCTATTCTGCTTAGGGAGTAGATTTACTACTTAAGTAATACAGTCATCTATAGTATTTAAACACAAAATGAGAAGTGTAAGATGATGGTATCTTATGGAAACAGGTGAATAGATTTAAATGAAACTGTATAAATCCAACAGTAATAAAGATTCAATGTACAGGAAAAGAGGGAAACTCAAAATGCAAAATAGTTAATTCCAACACAGTACCTTCAATCTGGTCTCCTGGTCTGAATGTCATCTGACTCACTGAAACGTTGTGAACAGGGTCAGAACGTGCAGTATGACTGTGTTCAGGAACCATTCCATGGCATGACTTTCCTACTTTTCCGCTGGGATAATTAGCCACAGAACTAACGTGCAACACAAGTATGAATGCACCAAAGGTAAATCCAGGAACTGCCATCTCAAAAAAAAAAAAAAGAAAAATTAAAAGCACATTATTTTTATACATAATTAAAATATAAAGCTTTCATATGACAGAATATTAATCCCAGAAAACTTGCTTTCAACAGACAGCTAACCATATTCTCAAAAATACATAATAAAAAGAATGTGATATCTGAAGTCTGACCTAGATTTGAATCTCGGCTCTACCAATCACCAATGATGAGACTTTAACCAAATCACTCAAGCCTTCATTTCCTTCCCTGAAAAATTAGGAAACTAACACCCACCTTACAAGTTGTTTTAATAAAATTAAGATACAAACTAAAGTCTGACAAGGAAGATATTTAAATAAATGTTAGCTTTCATTAGCATGATTTTCGCTAAAAGCAAAAGGTTCTATTTCAGCTTATCCCAGGAAGCTTAAAGAACAAATAGGAAATGTTTCTTCTGGATTTAAATACCGTCACCTAGGGGCGCCTGGGTGGCGCAGTCGGTTAAGCGTTCGACTTCAGCCAGGTCACGATCTCGCGGTCGGTGAGTTCGAGCCCCGCGTCAGGCTCTGGGCTGATGGCTCAGAGCCTGGAGCCTGTTTCCGATTCTGTGTCTCCCTCTCTCTCTGCCCTTCCCCCGTTCATGCTCTGTCTCTCTCTGTCCCAAAAAATAAATAAACGTTGAAAAAAAAAATTTTTTTTTTTAAAAATAAATACCGTCACCTAAATAAATATCTGGTATGACTTTTCTCAACTTCCCATTACATTAATCATGATGACAGGGTGGATACTTTAATTTGTAATACTGAAAACTGAGGATAACAGAAAACCAATCACAAGAAACAATATTTCTATTACCTTTAGCCCAGGCACTTCTGAATTAAGAAACACAATTGTCAGTCCAAGCAATTTTCTTCTCTCATCCAGTACCTGCCTCTTACCATCTGCCTAATAGAAAACCAGCTACTTTATGTCAGTCCCACCCTCTGGTAGCCTACATCAACCACTTCAATTGTTGCTTATATTCAGAACCTGCCAATCACAGCAAATAACAAGGCTTGAGGAAGATGGCAGGGACATGTTACACAGCAGTAAAGTCAGCCGATGAACAGACCCCAAGAAGCAGTTCATTCTCCGTACAAATAGATTAGACAAAATAAAAGCTCCCTTAGAATCACTAGAATAAATGACCCTCTTATAGTCATGTAAATTACAATCCCCACATTGGACCAGAACTAAACTACAGAATTCCTGCTAGACACCAGAAATTATGCCGGGGGCTACACATTTCAACCAGCTCTGCACCTTACAGCAGTAGCCACCAAGTAGATAGCATAGGGTCTAATAGTACTATATACCCCTATCTTTCATCAAACATCAAGCTAGGTAGAGTTTCTCCCATTTAAAAATAAGAAGAACAAGTAAATCAAGAGCTTCTGAAAAAATATCTATAAGAGAAACAGAAAATTTCTCTATACAGTCATAAGAAAAGCATAACTTTGAAAATGGTTGATTACTATAAGAAACAATAATTAGGAAAACAACTGTCTTAAACATACACAGTGATATATCTCAATTATTTCTCAATAAAACTGGGGCAGAGGAAGAAAAGGAAGACTGAAGAGTGGAGAAGGAATTTTTCTATTCAAACGTGGCTTTCAGGTGCCTTTGTTAGAGGCAGACCTGCTTTTAGGACCACGCAAGATTTGCTGGAGAGGATCAAGGTCATAGTTTTAACCACGTGACTGTGGCCAATTATCATGAAGATTAAATGCAGTAATGTGCTACCCAACTGAAGGATAGTATAAGGGAAAAGTCAGCCCAGTTTAGCAAATACTCATTGGCACTGACCTCCTGTCAGGTGAAAATGGAAACAAGACATAATTTCTAGTCTCTGCTTTGCACTGCATAGCTGAATAACGTCAACCCAGTTATATAATCTCTGTCTTTGCTTCTTCATTTGTGAAATATAGTAGATAAACCAGAATAAATTCAGGATCGCCTTCATGCCTAACATTATGATGTTAGAAAGCAAAGTGGAAGTACCTGGGTGGCTCAGTCGGTTAAGCATCCCACTTCAGATCAGGTCATGATATCACTGTGAGTTTGAGCCTCGCGATCGGCTCTGCGCTGACAGTGCAGAGCCTGCTTGGGATTCTCTCTCTTTCTCTCTCTCTCTCTCTCTCTCTCTCTCTCTCTCTCTCTCTCTGCCACTACCCCACTTACTCTATCTCAAAATAAATAAAAACTTAAATTAAAAAAAAATTTTTTTAAATAAAGAAAAAGAAAACAAAGTGGGAAAGGATACCAGGAATTAGCAGAGCAAGAAGGATAAGCCAGGAAGGGGAAGTGACTAAGCATCACCACCTGTCATTCATTAGGAAAATATAACAAATCCAGTCAGGAAGGGAAGTAAACCAGCAATTTCTTTGTTCTTGGTCAGATGCTGACTATTCAAGGTGCAGCTCTATTGTCATTACAATGGCTAATGATGATTTTCCAGTTACGATTTAAGGAACAGCCTTTTTTCAAAGTAATACTTTATTTTTTTTTAATTTTTTTTCAACGTTTATTTATTTTTGGGACAGAGAGAGACAGAGCATGAACAGGGGAGGGGCAGAGAGAGAGAGGGAGACACAGAATCGGAAACAGGCTCCAGGCTCTGAGCCATCAGCCCAGAGCCCGACGCGGGGCTCGAACTCACGGACCGCGAGATCGTGACCTGGTTGAAGTCGGACGCTTAACCGACTGCGCCACCCAGGCTCCCCTCAAAGTAATACTTTAATTTATTAGCCAACCAATGCCAACAGATTGCCTAGTTATGAAAGGAAATAAGGAGTTATTCATGGAGACATTTAAGTTAAAATTACATAATGTGGATAATGAACTATTATGAGGTCTTCCTTCAAGCATTGAAAGAACTCCCACCAATTTTGTATTATTTTTAAAGTTTTACATATTCCCAATCCACAGTGGGTACAATATAGAAAATAAAACAAAAAGATATCATAACTTGCATTCATCCCATGACAAAGATAGACCTATTAGTTAAAGAATTAAAAGAAAAGTTATCCTGATTCTAACTTAAATATTCCCAAACCTGATGAAAGATGCCTGAAAAACAAGCAATTAGTAAAAAAGGTATGATGACTGTTTGTACCATGTTCTACATACATCTCACACAACAGCAAAAAATCAAAACAAATGTATTCTTTATTATTTAAATACCAAATGATTGTACTGGCATGAATATTTAATTATTATTGTGATTGTGGACCACAGAGGCAAGTGATATTTATCAAGACAATATATTTAATGACAGCAAAGTAAAATTCAGATAAAATGAGAATTCAATTGAAAAATACTTAGATGTAAGAAAGTCATTAGAATAAGGAGTCTATGTTAAGAATTTTTTTAAATAAATTGGTCATTAAATGTCTTTTTATGTGTCACTCCAAGAATATGTGAGAAAAAGAAGAAATGGAGAAAAGCATACCTGTTAAAACCAAGTCGGACGATTAAACTGGCAAGTAACTAATCAAGTCTAGTTATACTGCAATCAAGCTCTAGCTCTCACTGTTAGTCATTCATTTTATGTTGGGTTTTTTGTTGTTTTTTTTTTTTTTTGAGAGAGAGAGGGAGAGACAGAGTGTGAGTGGGGAGGGGCAGAGAGAGAGGGAGACAAAGAATCTGAAGTAGGCTCTAGCTCTGAGGTATCAACACAGAGCCTGAGAGGGGGCTGGAACTCATGAACTACGAGGTCATGACCTAAGCTGAAGTCAGATGTTTGACTGAGCCACCCAGGCACCCCTACTCATTCATTTTAAATTAAGGCATCAAAAAGTTCAAAAGTTAACATGCACACAAAAAATTGTGGGAACTCAGCCCAGTAAACCCAATCTACATCACCCAAGATATGAGTATGAGCACAGAGTGAGAGTCTTAATTAATTCACAGGTATGAGGTAACAAGGTTTTCCTAATTATGAAGAATGAGTTGTAAAAAAAAAAAAAAAAAAAAAGCAAAAACTTAACCAGAAGGGTTTACTATAAAATATTTAAATAATTTGGAAAAGGTTGTGTGGTTTTTGTTTTGTTTTGTTTTGCTATATACAGTGGATTTTATTTAATTTTTTATCACATTCACAATAAGTATTTTTTACATTATGACCCAACAAACATTTCAAGAGACATTATTTACCTTTACCACATGGGATAAACTTGTATATCTCCTTCTTTTTTTGAAAGAGAAAGAGACGGGTAGAGGGGCAGGGAGAAAGAGAATCCCAAGCAGGCTCCACACCCTTAGGAAGGAGACCAAGGCAGGACTCAGTCTCATGAATGGGGGTTGATCTCACAAACTGTGAGATCATGACCTGAGCCAAAATCAAGTCAGATGCTTAACCGACCGAGTCACCCAAATGCCCGTAAACTCATATATTTTCTATTCCTTCCTCTTTTTTATGTTGGTTTTATGTATCCTACTGAATCGTTATTGCACAACCTACTAATGGATCTTAACCTGCAGTTTGAAAAATACTATTTTACAGCATATTTTACCATTATACAGCATATTTTACCATTTACAGCATATTTACCATTTACAGCATATTTTACCATTATACAGCATATTTTACCATTAAGTTTCAGCCTTGAATCGAGCTCTAAATCAGGAATATCAAGGATTTCACATAAAAAGGAGAGTTCTCAGCACTAAAGAAAAAAATAATAAGCCAAGCAATAAGGAGAATTTGGGACACAGGAGATGGGTTCAATGAAAATGTCTTATTCTCTCTTATTCCATTTGTGACCTAAACAAAAACTCTAAACATGGCTAATAGCATTCTCATGGTGACCTTCTGTATGAGGAAAACAAATTTTAATTAATCATAACAGAAAAACACTGCAATCCCTAAAGCATTTACACACCACTTTCAGAATTTCCATCAACCACATTATACAATGTGCCAAGTATATCATTACTTCATACTCAACACAGTTTTCATTTTATTTCATTACTAGAATTC